GAATTAGTTTGTTGACGATCGAAGCGCTCGGACATCATTTTGGATTTTCCTTATCCGTTGCTTCATTTGTAATTTTTTTGAAATTTAAAACTTGCAAGGATTAAATAATTATTCTACTGATGACCTTCAGTGGCGTGTCGAGTTTTTCTTAGGAGCTTAATTAACAGATTAGCACTAATTAATGGGACATGGTTTCAGGAGAAAGTGTACTTAAACGGATCAGATTAAAGTGGATTATATATATCAAATCCTTAACGTTTATCTGTCTGCTTACCTAAATTACTTTTTTGGAGGCCAGTTAGAATATGAATTTCACCTACAAGCTTCTTGGCGTCATTCTACTGGCTTTGCAATCAACACTTCATCCTTAAGGTATTTTAAATGAAAGGAAATTTTTTCATGATCTGCATATTAATTGGAATCTATGATATTATGAGATTTTCCATAATTGAGCTTTGTGTGTTATAATTAAACCAAAAATAAGTCTGTAATCTCATGATCAGGTGATGTACACAGATTAAGATACTAAACTTTAAAGTCATGCGCCGATTATTATTATATGTTTTTTATTTATGATTGATTATTTAGAAATTTACATACATGCTACACAATTCCTATGTAATGACACATCTAATATCTGAAGTTGATATTTGTACTTATAATATATTGTTGTCATAAATATATGTATGAAAAGATGATTTTGTCTTTTAGAAAGATGGTAATTGTGATATTTTTTTTATGTAATCCTAAAAATTTGAGAGGTATGCATGTAAATATGAATGTTTAGGCGTGTGATTTGCATGTAAATACGCGTTTTCCTTATTTTTTTTGAAGTTATTTTAACACAACACGAGTAGAATGTAAAAATTAAGCTAATGTTATATTATAAAGTAATAATTCAATATGATCAAATTTGTCTGCTTCAACAACTGGTGGCCAACCGAAGTCCAATGCGCTTATGGAAAATATAAAGTGGGCTGTGTCTCTATGTGCTGTGTCTGCATCGCAATTTACGATTGAATTTCTAACTGCTTCCCTTAGAATTTATCCAGTCCAAGACGTCAGCATGGAAAAATTAAAAGTTGCTGCCAAATTTAAAAAAAAGAAAAAGAAAAACAGTAATAATAACTGCATTCATACGTAGCTGCTTTCATTTGTTTGTATCAAATTAGGACGTACAGACGCAAATCATGCAAACCCTTCCTTCCGAATCCCTGATAACTCTTACAAAAATTCAAGACAAAAATTCAAGAGGCCAGACTTTTCTGAAGCTGTAATTTGCATGTTAATCTATATCAGCAAATTGATTGATTTTAAAATGAGTAATATAGGAAACTAATTGATTTTTCTTTTACTGCACTCATCTAAAAATATATTAAAATATTTAAATATTACTTTTGATCAAGATATTCTGTTTCCCTTCTTTTTTTCTCCCTTCTAGAAGCAAACATCATTGACGGTTGATGATGGGGCTAGCACAATAAAGCAACACATTATTGACATACTAGTAAGAATTAAGGGAAAAAAAAAAAAAACTGGTTCCTAAATGGACAGCCAGAAGTTTATTTACTTTGAATAGTAATTACGTACGCTTGTTTTTATTAGAGAATAGCTCATTCAATTTTGGGCACTAAGGCCCTCATGTGCATAGAACAAGGCTATAACATCCACATGAAGAATAAATTAAATGGTAATTATATTTGATCGAGCAATCAAGGCATTCTGTCGTTCTTCTCAATTTTGTTGTCAGGCAGTGTGCTATGATAAATTTAACGTAGAATATCAAATTGCTAATGTATATATGATATATACATTTGTTTGGCTTCAGGATTGCCTGATCACTGCAATCTATCTATCAAAACTTAATTAATTTTTCCAAATAATGTATATAAACATAAATACATATATAATTATAATAATAATACATGCGAAGCAGATTCAACAACGAATTACATATATAAAAATAAGAGTAGAGTAGTAACTTCAGGGCAATCCATAAATATATATATATATATATAGGGGTCGGCAGATTCTACAACAGAGTTATTTTGTTGAATAAATTAATTCAGCTTGCTTAATACTCATGCGTTTTTGCTAGCTGGGTTTATAGCTCCTCAAGGTATGACAATTTTTATGGAGGAAAACAAATTAAGTCAGCTTATCACAATCATATTAAGAGATGATATATATATATAAACCACAGCACACGTATTTTTTTGCTTTAGTAACGTCGGCTTTTGAACTTTCATTCTTCAGAATTGCAAGCTACCAACATGCATATATATATATTCGCTATCAAGAAGAGAGGAACACTGAACATGTTTGATGATCCGGAGATACAAGGAAGAGTGTATAAATATATATATTAATTTGCCATCAAGAAGAGAGGAAACACTGAACATGTTTGATGATCCGGAGAGACGAGATAAGGAAGAGTGTGGGAGTGAAATTGCAGGTCTAACACCACATGCCTTAGGGCTCAATCATTTGGCGTTGCTTCTACCTTCAGAAAGTTCAATTTATTCTAAAAAACTGAGGATTTTGCTTTCAGCGCTCGCTTTAAAAAAGATATTAAACTCACCATTTTAGAGGCTGTTTCCAGGAGACTTGTGGAATCAAAGGCATACTTTGCAGCATCATAAATGTTGGTTACGCGTCATTTTAAGTAATACTTAAGATCCTGGACAAAGTAATGTCAAATATTCAAGCTTCTTAAGCTTGTGTTTTGGGATATCTAACAATTGTATCATAGCTTTCACTTGATTAAATAAATGTTCAAAGATTCTATCAAGCTAATTATATCTAATCGCATGTGCATCTTTATCCTCGATTCATATCAGGACATTGTTTTTCTTTACACGATTCGAAATCTTTTTGCATTGTTAATGTACAAATATGCCTCTTTTTTTGGTCCACATAATTAGGAGTGTATTGCAAAAATAAAAAGAATGCATGTTTTGAAAATTCTGGCTTATGGTTGGAAGAAAAATATTTGCAACTCAACGCATTTGAACATCACCATCTTATTCACAATTTCGGTGTATTGCCATTTATTAGATTTGGGTATATTAATTACAAAAATATTACTTGAATAAAGTGTTAATTATCACAGCCCCCCCCCCCCCTCTTCTACCCCCCTACCAGTCATTGTCAACCGCCGACCGATTGCCACTTGCCGGCTCTACCCGACTTAGGCCACCCGTCATTTGCTGAACGCAATCTACTAGCCAGCTCCCCTGCCATCATAAACTGTTGTAACACAGATTACTTGTACCATCATCAAACTCATTTTATATTAATTTCAATTCTCTTCAAATCAAACATAAAAGCGTGAAATCTTTAATTTATTTTACTTTACATAATTTTAAATCACTCTTAAAATATTTCAAATGTAATATATTTCAATCACAACACCTTGATAAAAAGGCAAGATTATAATTTTTTTTTTTAATTTTTTCCGGGCATTTTCACACCTATTTTCTCTTCTTAAGATATGATTACTTTCCTCTTATACTCAAGACTATGGTTTTCCAACATACTAATATTTCTCCCCATGATCTCATGTACAAAAGTCCATGGTTCCTATTTTGATCTGATTTTTTCTTTTAGTTAAAATACAGTACTATGACGTCAATAATATTTCCTTTGATTTTTAGTCATGATTTGACATTTATTCCAATTATTGAAGATCAATATGAAAATAATTTTGCATGATTTGACATGAGCTCTATTTTTTCAAGCACCAATGAGGCTTCAAGGAGAATAGAGAAGAAAAAAGCATTCCTATGTACCACAAGCTGAAGAGTTTCGTAAAGAGCAACATATTCTTTCAACCAAATTGTAATTGGGATAGATTTTCAAGCAATATCGTTAAGTTGTGCCGCATCTTTTGGAGTTCCCACCTTCTCCTTATTTCTTTCCTATTAAGAAATATTATCTTCGAAACTAGCCTTCTATCTTCTTTAATTTTTTTTTAAAACCACAGTTTATTTATTTTGTTGAAATTTATGTTCTAGTTTTGGTTGAAAAAAGAAATATTTAAGCAGACTGAATCAGCCCAAAACCCATTTTTTTATTACAATTTATTAACATAAACATATATATATAACTGATCAGCATCGAATAATCAAACTAAAACTCCAAATATATATATATATATATATATATATTAAAAGAAATATATTAATAAAGTTAATATCTGTCACACTTTAATATTTAGATAGTAAATGTACATTTCAACCTCTTGATTAAAATCACTTAATAACTTCTATAGAAGTTTAAAAAGAAAGCTTATTTTCACAACTTCAGCTGAATATTAGGATCAAATTAAGCTATCAATCAGTGACAAAATACACAAGAAAAGTCCATCAATTAATTTCTTTTCCCTTCCAAACAAAAATGCAACAATAGAAAGCAATAGAAAGCTTTAAGGAAATGTCAAGGAAAGCAAACCAGTATGATTATAATGTTTTGGCAAAATTTAATCAGGCAGAAAGATAGATGAGAATGTGCATTAATTGGGCATTACAATCTGTAAGTCTCACTTATTACCAACAATAACCAATGCAATTTAACCCAATATCATGTAATTCTTCTATAATGTTAGGGCATAAAAAGAGAATAAGAGTAGGCTGAAAATATTTTTTTTTTAGATAGGCTGAGCACTCTAACCCAATATCATGTAATTCTTCATTTTATTTCCAACCATTGCGCTGCATATTCAAGCACGAGCTGAAAACGTTGTTTGCTCTCTATAAGCATTTTCATGCATAGACGACTAGGTTTAGAAAAAAAAAAAAAAAAGGAAGATTTGCATGCATATTACTCAATTCTTATGTATTTACATATCTAAGACCTAAACTTCAATTTTTTACATATATGCTACCTTAAAAATGCATGAAAAGGTGTATTTCACAGTTTAAAAATTAATAGAGAAGTAATTTTTATGAGATATGAAAGATTTAAGTGGTACAAGTGTAACAAAATAAAATTTAGGTGCTAGATTTGTAAGAAAATAAGAATTTGGTGGTATGTATGTAAATGCCCCTAAGAAAATGCTGCAGCTTCCTAAACCAAACAATTGGAACAATTCAAGGTGTTAGTTCAGTAAAGTTACTCTTTATATATTAATAATGTCCCACGCAATTTATAATGGCTTCATTAGCCTTCTGGGATTCTGCCCTTCTGCTGCTACTTTTTCCTGCAAAATTTTGATGTTAGTTGGTTACATCTCCCATTGCATACCATGGCAAAATCTGATTAATTATTGAGCCTAAACTCAGTGTCAAAACAATAAAGCTAGTATCAGACCAAGTGTATAAGAACATCCAACAATTTAGCAAGCATTCTATTCACAATGTGACCACATCAACCACCTTGCATCAATAAGAGAACTTTAATTTCTCTAGTTTGTTAAAATTTAAGATGAACATATTTGCCCATGGTAAACAGAATCAAGTTTATGAAACGGGAAAAAAAATCAAAGTTCAATTACAGAAGATTGGGGTAAACACAAAGGTCTCTGTCCACACTTCTTTTGATTGTTATTAAAGCTGTGCAGAACTGTCGAAAAAAGATTAAAAAAAAAATTCCCCACAGAATCCTAATGAAAATTTACATAATGATTGGCTTTCAGCTATTGGATTTGCATTGGGTTGAATTAAAATCCAAGGAACCCATGGCAAATCTAAATGAGCTCCAAGACCTATGGATTTCAAATTGGATGAATGCAATGCATGGGTTTTGGTGCTCCTTTGAATTTGAATTCATCCCAACACAAATCCAAAGAATGAAATCCCATCCTAACCAAAATTTCCCTCATGGGTTTTGGTGTTCCTATGGATTTGCATTTATCTCAACGCTAATCCATGAGCCAAAAACACATCCTAATCTAAATTTCCTTCAAATGTCATAAAGGGAATATTTTTCACAATGACACCCCCGCTTCTCCACCAATGCTAATTTCACTTCCTGTTAAGACTACGCTCTAATCCACTCTACTGCATTTCCATGTCATCACTCCCCACCGATAATGGAACAATGGTTGAGGGTATTTAGAGTATGGGAGCTTCAAATATAAATTCACTTGCAGCTATGTAAAGTGTTACAGAGCGGGGACCAAAAGGGAACTAAAGATGGGCATGACCAACAAATGGTAATCCACATTCTCAACCGAAATACTTAAGCCTGTTGATGAGGGACCAATCACTTGGTACTTCAAAATTTTTTAATTTCAAATTAATCACAATAGTCTCACAAGCCTTCACAATCCCCTCTCACATGAGAGCTCTCCACATTGGTCATCACTACCTTTTTTAAAAAACCTAGCATCAAAAACAGAGAGCCTACTCACCACATAATGACAATGTGTGAATCAGTCGATCTTAAAGTTTGCTCAACCATATTAGAAAGCGGAAAAAACTCATTAAAGCCACAAACCATATATGCTACTCATTCCAAACTAAACCGTCCACCCTAATGATAGTAGTAAGGGAGCTAGATCAAAGAGGGTTCACAATTAAACAAAATACACAAGTGGTTAAGTCATTTTCAACCCAAAAGTTTAATCTAATGAGTGAGGTTTAACATCGTTAACAGACATACAATTTTGGAAATAGACAAGTAGTAGTCACTCATCGGATAGTTCATCTCATCAAAATTTTTATTTGATTTTAAACTATTAGAATTATTAGCCGAATTAATGTTGAATTTATTATTAGGTTTTATTTGCTTTATTTATTTTCTCCATTTCCATGTTTATGAATTTCTGAATTTTGGTCTTTTCCTTTTATGCAGGTCATGTAATGTGTATTTATACACCTCTTTCCCATCAATGAATTTTGTTGCTTTATTCTTAAAAGTTTACATGGTATTAAAGTCATGGTTCTAGCCCTAGCAGCTGCTGGACTTTTTCTAGCCGGTCGGATCTCCTTCCAGCGGGCCTGATCAGTTTCCTGTTGGTCTTCATGTAGTTCTTCCCAGCCAGGTTCCCACTACTGCTCTTCCTGCGTATCTTTTCTTTCCGGCTTTTCTTCCCATGGGTCTCCCCAGTCGGGTTTTGTCCGCTCATTCCTACTGTGTGTCTTCCCAGCCGACATTTCTGCCTGTTGGTATTCCCGTGGTTTCTTCCCAACCAGTTTCCAGCAACGCCAACTGTTACTCCCAAGGTTTCTTCCCAACCGGCTTCCAGCAATTGATCCCTCCAGCCAGGACCAAGTACATTGCAACCATATATTTCCGACAAGTGCTTCTAACCGACCTAATCTCTCTCTTGCAACAAAAAACCTCCTATATCTCGGCAACCCAACTTCACTTTTGGCTTAGTAAGAATCATGGAGGACTCAACCACTGAGCCTCTTTCTGACGGTGTACTTAAGTCCATCGGAGGATCGACACCAACCTCAATCCCTCCACAGACCGGAGGACCATAAAAACACATTAAATTCTTAATCACCACCTATAAATTTATGGCTCTAACTTTCCCCAAGCCGTGGACGCGGAAAATTCAACTATCTTACCGGTATGATTCATGAACCTCCGAAGAATGATCCAGCATGGGAAGTGGAGAATTTCGTGGTCATGTCATGACTGATCAATTCAATGGAGACTGTGATTGAACGTTCGCTTATATTTTTACCTTTTGCCAGTGTCTTGTAGACTGCAGTTTGAGATACCTACTCAGATGTAAGGAACTCCAGCCAACTTTATGATGTGTCCAATAAGAATTTTAAGGCAAAACAAGGATCGAGAACTGTGAACCAATACTACAATGATTTGGTGGTCTTATGGATAGAATGTGATATCTACTATGATTACACGTGAGAATCTTCGACAGATCTTTCTCACTTTAAAAAAATTATAGAAAAATATCGTATGTTCTAATTTCTAGCAGATTTTAAAAAAACCTTGATGAAGTTCAAGGCCGCCTCCTTGACCGAGGTCCCCTTCCTTCAGCTCGCGTTGCTTTTATAGAAATTCGACGCGAAGAGAGACGAAAAATTGTCATACTCGGCACTTCCACTTTAGTCAAATCATTTGCCTTGGCCACTAATAATATTCAACACTCATCAAACGCTCCTTAAGCCACTTGGTCCACTTGTGATTCCAGTCATAACCCCAACCATACTCGAGAAAAGTGTTGGAAACTCCATTGAAAATCGACATACAAACATTCATCCAAATCCTCCTTTGCCAAGAGTCTCACTACTACAGCATTTGAATCTACTACGGTACAACAAGCTCCCATCAGAACACTTTGGGTTCACTTGACTCTCGTAAGAGTCAGATGGATCAATTAATCAAGTTGTTTGGATCCAATCAATTCACTTCTGGTCCGTCAACCTCCCACGTCCGTCAAGATATCATCCCTATGTCACTCGCTTCTTTTTCAAGTCCATGGATCATTGAGTCAGGTGTCACATACTACATGACTGGATGCTCTCAAGCTTTATCAACATATTATCTATGCTCTGGGAAAGATACAGTTAAAATTATTGATGACTCTTGTAACTCTATTGTTGGTAAAGGGCAAGTTGTGCTAACAATCAGTCTAACTCTAGAATCTATGTAACATGTCCCTTTGTTGAAGTGTAACTTGTTATCCGTTAGTAACCTGATACATAACATAGATTGCATTGCTAAATTTTCTCTTGATGTTTGTGTTTTTCAGGATCGTAATTCAGGGAGAATGATTGAAACTGCTAAAAGAGTAACGAGCTCTACTTTTTCCCAAGAGAGAACGAAGAACGAGGACACTTCTTCCAGCAGTTGCAGGCTTTTTCAATCTACTGAATGTCCTATTATGTTTTTTCATTATCGTGCGGGTCATCCTAGTTTTCAGTATTTAAAACAATTGCATCTGTCTATGCCTACTAATAAAAATCTTGCTAACTTCAAATGTGAGACTTGTTAATTAGCTAAACATCATCGTGTTCTTTATCTATCCCATCCTTACACACCTTCCGCTCCCTTTTCTCTTATTCACAGTGACTTGTGCGGACCCTCTCGCACTCCCAGTTACACTAATAAATGGTGGTTTCTTACCTTAATTGATGACCACACTTGAATGATGCGGGTCTATATCTTAAAAGATAAATTTGAAGTTGTCGCCACTTTAAAAAACTTCCACTCTTTCATTTTGACCCAATTCAATTACTTTGAACCGACAATGGCTGTGAATATTTTAACTCTATTTTAGTTGAGTTCTTGGTAAGTAAGATCATTCTCCATCATAGCTCATGTACGAACACTTAACAATTGAAGTAGCCGAAAGAAAAAAAATGACACCTCGAAGTAGCTCGCTCCATTATGTTTTAATCTAATATCCTCAAAAAGTTTTGAATGATGTTGTGCTTACTGTCACATATCTCATCAATTGGATTCCCACAAAAAATCATAACTTCAAAACTCTATTAGCCGTCTTGATGTTATGTTTCCCAATAAATTGGTTCTTCACCAGTCTTGAACCAAAAATTTTTTGGCTGCACTATTTTTGTTTAAAGCATTGCCCTTAATTGAAGTAAGCTTGATCCCAAGTATATAAATGTACCTTCCTCAAATATTCTGCCACTCAGAAAAGGTAAGTGTTGATGTCTCTTTTGAAAGTGTTCCCTACTTCAATATTATCCCTTCAAGTGAGGCGAAGCTTGATTTCCTGGACACAATTCTGTATCTGACCCCTGTGGATGTCTCCAACCACTACACCCGATGAGCTCTCATTCCTTCTGGATCCACCACCTACCAAATGACCGGAACCTCCTCCCATTTTCCATGTCTATACTCGGCGCACTCATGTTCCCACTCTGGATCCCGCTACCTCTTTACAGAATTTGGAATCCACTACGAGTGACATCCCCAGAACTGACACCACTCCAAATGAGGTGAGTTCTCTTAATGAGGTATGTAATCAGGTAAGCTCTCTTCATTCTACGGAAAAATATATTTCTTTCCACAGTGTGTCGCTGACCTATAAAGCATTTACCACTGCCCTGACGAATCATCACCTCTCATCCATTATTGAAACAACATTTGCTGATCCTTCTTGGAAAGCTGCAGTAATGGATAAAATGTATGTCTTTCAGCAAAATCAGGTATGGGACGTTGTGGATCTTCCTCTAGATAAGAAAACAATTAGGTGTCGCTCGATTCTTAGCATCAAGTTTAACTCTGATGGATCCTTTAAATGCAACAATACAAGGTTATTTGCCAAAGACTACTCATAAACATACTGAGTTGATTATGAGAAGACATTTGCTCTGGTTGCTAAATTAAATACCATTCGGGTCTTAGTTTCGCTTGATGTTAATTTGGATTGACAAATGCTCCAACTGGATGTCAAAAATGCTTTTCTAAATGAGGATCTCACAGGGATGTGTACTTGTGCCTCCCTCTAGGTTTTGACTGTACTGTGTCCTGGGGACAAACGTGCCAACTATGAAGTCCCTTTACAGACTGAAACAAACTCCAAAAGTCTGGTTCGACAAGTTCCAAAAGTGGTAATGGGTAATGGTTTTTCTCAAGGCCCAATCAGACCATACTTTATTCTTTCAACATTCCTTTAGTGAAAAAGTTACAATCTTTACCGTCTATGTGAGATGATATTGTGTTCACAAATGATAATTTACAAGCATTGGAGTCTCTAAAAGGTATTCTGCTATTTCATTTGAAATGAAAGACTTAGGATCACTCCGATACTTCTTAAGCATGGAAGTTGCACGGTCATCTCGAGGCATTTGCTTGTCTCGGCGCAAATATTTGCTTGATCTATCGACAGAGAATAACCTAACTCTTATGCAAACTGGTGGCAGTTCCAATAGATCTCAATGAAAAATTAGTTGATGATCCCAATGTGGTTCCAATGAATAAGGCTCACTACCAACGTCTTGTGAGGAAACTCCTTAACCTCGCCCATACTTGCCCTGATATTTGCTACGTTGTAGGTATTGTGAGTCAATTCATGCATGATCCCTATGAACACTATCCATCAAGCTCAGTTTTGTTTTTTTTTTTTTTCACGTCAAACCTCTCATTCTATTGTTGTTTATATAGATACAAATTAGGTGTCCATCCATGATGGGCGTTATTCGTGTGAAGAAATCTTGTCACAAAAAAAACAGTCTGTTGTGGCCCGAAACAATGCTAAAGCCGAATTTCGCTTCATGTCCTTGGGCATCTGTGAAGCCCTTTGGTTACGCATCGTGCTTCGCGAATGATGTCAGTCTGTCTCTACCCCTCTCCAGCTATTTCGTGATAATAAAGCCGCTATCAGTATCACACATAATTCGCTCTAGTAAGATCACACCAAACATGTAGAGATTGACCACTAATTCAATAAAGAAATGTTTGATTCATGAGAGATTTGTATTCCATTTGTTTCATCCGGTGGTCAATTAGCAGATATCCTCGCCAAAAATCACCCTCGATCGTTGTTCGACGACTTCAAATCTAAGTTGAACATGATGAACATTTATGCTTCAACTTGAGGGGGAGTACTATAATTATTAACCAAATTAATGTTGGATTTACTATTAGGCTTTATTTTCTTTTGTCATCGTCCTCCATCTCCATATTTATGCATTTCTGAATTTAAGTCTTTTTCATTTATGTGGGTCTTATAATGTGTATTTATACACCTTTCTCTATCAACGAGTTATGCTGCTTTTATCTCAAAAGTTCACATAAACTTACTCAAATTGAAGATTAGATGATTTAGAATTTAATTTTAAAACTTTTTTGTATCAAGTTTGTGTTTGATTAGATAGATTTGTTGGTTATGTATCAAACCTAAGGGGTTGCTGGTATCAAATTTAAGGGCAATTTAAGAGGGATTTATCTAAAATCCTCCCAAAAGGTCATTTTGGACAACATAAATATTCTGATTTACCAAATCTAGATTTTGCCAATTTTGGGCGTGAATCTGAAATTCAGTAAATCTCGCTATTTAGCGGATTCAGTAAATCCAGGAATCCCCCTGTGAGAAGGAGGAAGGAGGAAAGGAGGAAACCAAAGAGCAGCAGGGGCTAGGGGAAGGAAGAGAAGAACTAGAGTTACCTTCCTCAAAAGTTTCGGGTAAGATTTGCAGTGATCTTTGTACACCTTGTTCCCTTCATTGCCTTCCTAGCTAGCTCTAACTGTGACAATACAGGCGAAATGGGACAGAGGGGTTGACTGAGAGTTTCAGGCAAGAGCATGAAAGGGGAACATATTTTTAGGCATTTATTAAATTTAATTAATTTAGTTTATTAAAATTAATTATTAATTAATACATAATCTATAATAATAATTATTTCATAATAATATAAATCAAACTATATATTAAAAGTCAATTGATTTGATGAAATTCTAAATAATTATTAATTTGTATAACAAATAACTAATTAATTATTAATTGATAAATGTTAAACTATTACTTAATAAATAACCAGTTTACTAAAATTCTTCTTAATGATCCATTAGTTTAGTAAATAATTAATTATTGATTAATATAATTTGAAATAAAAATTTAATTTAATTTAATTAGACTTAATAATTATATCATTAATATTTCAGCAAATATATTTAAATCCTAAAATTAAGTAACATTAATATAATTAATAATTTAGCCTAACGAGTAATTATCTAAATAATTTACTTAATAAACTAATTAATCAAATTCATGAGTGAAATAGTGATTAATTATTAAACATTAAAAAATTGATTAATATTTTAATACTTTAACAGAATAAAAATTATTTAATTTTTAACATAATAATGAAATAATGAATATTTAGTTTTATTTATATATTCTAACAGACATAACAGACTTTTAAATTCTGACAAATGTGATCAAACAACTTAACAAGATTTAAATAGATTTATTAAATTCAATTCCAAACTGTTTGTGGTATTTAACCATTTTAGGATTTACTAAATCCTGATTTGCAGGATTTAATAAATCCACTTTACTAAATCCAAATAAACGTTAAGCTAAATGTTTAAGGCAAAATATTCCAACTGCAAAGCATCGACAGTAGGTGAAGTTCACCATACCTTGGGACTCTGTCAGCAATCCTCTCCTCTTGATAAGAAAACAAATAATGTAGTAGCATCTTGTGAACGACCCCGCTCATCTTCTTGGCATCATATCTAAAGTGGACAGAGTATGTATCTACTATAAAAGGCTATGTAGCTTACCTGGAAAATATTAAAATCTTAAACAAAGGATATAGAAATAGGCAGACAAAATCAATCAGAAACATCATGGCAGAACTAGCGAAATCCAACAATCTCAAAAGAGATTCATGAAGATTGTTGTTACTGAATGCTTATTTGGAGAAAAAAAAATTAAGGAGCTTATTATTTCACAGCTCTTTAAAGTCCAGTGTTCTCCGGATTTTGGTACAATCTGTTTGTTTGTTGATTTACTGTTTTTAATGTTTACAATAAAGATGGCGCGGCTGTGAAAAATAAGTTTCAATACTCTATACTGCAAATAAATGCCAAGATAAAACATAGGAACAATAAAATAAGAACTGCGCGCAAGTGATTGATAGGCATGAAAATGTTACATTATTTAAGTTAATTGAAGAGTAGTACAATAGCCGGATTGGAGAAAGTTCTTGTCATGCTTTTAAATATTGAACCTTTCTGGCTCTATACGATATGATTCCAACGTATTCAGCTCATGACGACTGCGTCGCTATATCGACTTCAATGTGTGACTAAGCATAGCAGAGCAACCATCATTTGGCGTTTTGGCGGAGAACCACCAGCATCACATAGCAGCTTGGTCTTCAAGGCTAGGAGTTGTTCATAGAGGGTGACAAAGTTGAGTGCAAAGACAGCATCATCCTGATAGATTCTCCTGTATCTCTCATCAAGTGCTGCTGGACGAGTAACTCTTGCAACACATTATTGTATAGGCTTGGTGTTGGCCGCTTGAAAGATTTCAAAATCTCTAATTTGGTCGCAGCTACAGTAGGGAATATCTGTGAGAAGGAAAAAAAAAAGCACATAGCCGGTTCATATCCACAATCTAACAAGATAAACATAGAAGTAGATTTGAAACCTTGTTTAAAAACATGCAATATGATATGTGCATTGAATCCCGATGTAAATTTACTAGCTAAAAATTAAAATAAGGATGACATTGTCCCAGTGTGAGGCAAACACCTCACCCAAGTTGAGGCACACCTCGTCTCAAAAAAATCCCGATGCAAAATTTACTTGCTAAAACTTACAATAAGGATTACATTGTCCCAGTGTGAGGCAAACACCTCATCCAAGTTGAGGCACACCTTGTCTCAAAAAATGCCTAAATTTTTTAGATCTTCTGTAATTTTTTATTTAAAAAACAAATCTAAAATTATATACCTTACATATTAACCCTCACACCTCAAAGACTAAATAACAAAAATAAAAGAAAAAGAACCAAGAAAATTTATGTAGTTGAAGTTTTAACCATCAACATAGCTATTTTTTTAATAATTATTTTTATTGATGATTATTAATTAAAAAATAAAAGATAAATGAGATAAAAAAAAAATGAAGAATAAGAGAATATAGATACACATGAATAAGATATGAAATAAATAATCCATGATGTAAACGATTTTAATGAAAATCTGTTAGGCAATGAGATTAATAGGGAGTTCTAAATTTAAAATGAGTGCAAGAAAATTTGGCAAAATTCTCGAGAGCACCGCAACGCCATATTCCAAGTTGTAGATGAGCTAGTAGAAAGCCAATCTTCAATTCATTTGAAAGTTAACTCATCAAACCAATTTTTAATTTTCGTCGAAGTCAAGGAAAAATAGAATGAATTTGCTCTATACTTAAAGATTGCACATAGGACTTTTAGGGAGAGTTGTGAACCTTTATATACCTCATCCATGGAAGAACGGATGAAGACATTAATTGAGGAGGCACCTAGGTAAGATTTAAAAATCCTACGCAAACATTTGAAGTCTGCTTTTTTAAGAGAAAAATAAACAATTCTTATAATTATTTTTGCTAAATTAGATGAAATTCAAGGAAAAAATTGATGCTAGTATTGAGGACTTAAATAAAAACTTTTGGTTGAACTATAACAAATATTCATAGAATAAACCATTCCTTGTGCATGCATAGAATACTTATGAAAGAGAATCATCAACCAAAACTAGACTCTCAAAAAAAGCTTAATCCGATTATGAAAGAGATGGTGAAGAAAGATATTTTGAAATGATTAGATGTGGGTATTATATATCATATACAACTACAACAACAACAACAAAAACAAAGCCGTAATCCCACTACGTGGGGTCGGCTACATGAATCCTTTTTCTCCATTGCGTCCTATTTAGTGTCATATTTTCATTTAGTTCTAGTAAATTAAGATCATTTTTAATACAATAAGCCCAAGTCTTCCTAGGTCTACCTCTGCCTTTCTTAACACAAGTCTAATCTAAAACATTTACTCTCCTAACCGGATCATTAGATGGTCGATGTTTAATGTGACCAAACCATCTAATATGACTTTCTCTAATTTTGTCCGTCACAGGAGCTACACCAACCCTATCACGAATATATTCATTCCGCATTTTGTCTCTAAGTGTAAAGCCACTCATCCACCTAATCATTCTCATCTCGGCAACACCTAATTTATTATTAAGAAAAATTTAGGTAAGTCTTATACACTGTGTAATAAAGAAATGGGGTATAACGGTGATAGAAAATGATAAAAATGAATTAATCCAAACTAAAATTATAGTTGGGTGACTCATGCATAAGACTATAAGAAGTTGAATAATGTCATTAGAAAAGATCACTTTCCATTGCCCTTCTTAGATCAAATATTAAATAGACTTGTAGACACCCTTATTCTTGCTTCTTAGATAGATATTCAAGATAACACTAAATTTTTATTGCTCTTGAGAATCAGGAGAAGACCACATTTAATAGTCCTTATAATGTGTTTGCTTTTAGAAGAATATTCTTTAGTCCCTACAAAGTTTCTGCAACTATTCAAAGATGCATAATATCAATGTTTGTTTTATTTAATTAAGCAGGGCATTGAAATTTTTATGGATGATTTATTAATGTTTGGACTATCATTTGATAATTGCCTCCAGCATTTCACCTTAGTTCTTAAACGATGTGCATAGATAAATGATGTCTATATGTAATGTGCTTATTTTTCACTTTATTTCTACCTTTTTTATATATTAATATTATGCTTTTTGGAAGATTTTAGTGTTGTATTGCAGGATTCAGGCAAGGAGGTCGAATGGGGCTCGAAATATTGCAAAATAGAGCTAAATGATGTTGAAACCACATAGGCGCAAGGACTAGGCACCTAAGCACCAGATGTAGGTCTAAATTGTGCAGAAAACAGAGCGGATGGAAAGTAGGCTCTGCGATTGCAGTGAGTAGGCGACACACCCTCAGTGCCTAGGCGCTGAAAACGGGTTGCCTAGCCGCCCAATACTCCAAATCCAGTTCTTGCAAATTGATTGTTTCTGAAGTTGGGACACTTCTCTTCTTCGGGAGAATTATAAAAACATTGAAAACGAAGTAAGAAGGGTATTTTCTGCCATTTTTTTAGCGTGGAACTGTGAAGAAGAAGACCAAAGAGGCTTTGTAAGGAGTTTTGAAATGAAGAAAGGAGAAATTTGAAATAATCAACAGATGTATTCACGGCTTGTTTTCAATTCTTCCATCGTACTTTGTAAAAAGAGGAGAAAAGTACATTTGTGGTTTGAATTTTCATTTGAATTTCTTTGAAAACTTGGTATATGATTTCTATGTTTAATTCAAAGTTTGATGTGATGGTTTTTATAATGAAGAGTGAGAAGATCCTTTATTTCTTCCCTGAATTGAATAGTGGTAGGATATAAGTGAAATTATCCATGTTATTCGCATGTGAATTGGCTTAATAGAGTAGTAAGAATTTTAATATTCTTCGTGAACTTTGAGATCCGAAAGAAAATTTAGTGGAACGAACGAGGTTAACCACATAAACTGACTGTAATAGGAATATTGCCTTTGAGTGTGCTAACATTTAGGGAGATGCTATTTGGGCTGATCAAGGAATTTAAGGAACTAAACTCTTTACACTTGAATTTCCTTAGACTCCCAAAAGGGGATAAGAAAAAGACTAACTCCTGCTTGACACTAAATTTTAATCCTAGTTTCAATTCTATTCTCCAGTAGTTCAATTCAAGGGGGAAACTTCTCAAAACTTGAATTTCGTAAATACTCCCTTTGGGTTGTTAGGTTAGACTTGTTTCAAATTTGAAATAGGATAGAATATTTCCTTAGCGTCAACAAATTGAACCATTCAGGCGAGGACCGTCAATAGTAAACTAGAAAATTTTCTTTTGGGATTCATCTCGCTCCCTATTGAATTGATAATCAGAACTCTATTCCAGATACTATTAATATGACACGTATACTTATATGAGTCACCAGTGTTTCGCCGCACTTGGTTCGTATCAAGTTTTTGGGAGTATGTGAATCTTTTTTTTTACTTATTGCAAACTCGGGTTAATTGTTAGTTGTTTATTTTGCACTTGTTTTTACTTAGTACTCTTGCTTTTTGTTTACTTGAAGTTTGTTAGGCAGAGGTAGACCTAGGATGACTTGAGCATATTGTATAAAAAATGATCATAATTTATCAGAAATAAATGAAAATATGGCACTAAATAGAACGCAATGGAGAAGAAAGATTCATGTAGCTGACCACACCTAGTGGGATAAAGCTTTTTTTTTTTTTTTTTTTTTGTATCTTTTAAATATTTGATCTCAAACTCAGTTGTTGAGGTTTGTTGCATTTTATTAGCTTAGGGTTGTTTAGCTAGTTCAATCTAGTAGTGTATGTGTAGTGCTAGGCCTTCAAACCTTGAAATCTACGACCCTAAGTTAGAACCGTAAAAAAAATCAAAAAAATAAAAAGACTTCAAAAAAAATTAGGAGAGATGGAACGCATACATTATGAGGAACACAATGCTCACAAACCCAATAAAATGCATAAACCTCCACTTAAGTCTTAACACCTCTGTCGTAAAAGCCAAATCGTTTGAACTGAAACTTGTCATCATTTGATGCTACGAAATAACCAACTTGGGGGGACACCATCGGAAGACCTTAATTTACACTTAGTAAATTTTTTAGAACTTTGTGTCACATTTCGCTATAACGGTGTGTCCAAAGATGTCATTAGACTAAGGTTTTTCACTTTATGTTTGAGTGATAAAGCTAAAATGTTGGTTAATTTCCTAGCTCTTTGGTTTATCACCACCTGGAATAAACTGATCCAGAAATTCTTAACTAAATACTTCTCATCATTTAAAACAACCAAACGTGGGAATGACATTACCTCCTTTAGTCAATTTGATCAGAAATCCACATACGAAGCTTGAGAAAGATTTAAGGAACTACTTAAGAAATGTCTCCATCATGCACTACCAGATTGGTTGATCATTCAAACATTTTAGAATATTTTTGTAGGATTACTTAATTCGATCATAGATGTCACAACAAGAGGTTCCCTTATGCCTAAACCCTTTAAAGAGGCATATTCCTTGATCGAAGAAATGAAAACAATTAACTTCCAACGGCCTTCTGATTGAGTTAACCCTACGAAGGTATCCAGTGTTCATGATACAGACGTGTTATCAATCTTGAAACCTCATGTGGTGACTATCACTAGGAAGCTAGATCAATTAGGATTGAATCCAACACAAAGAACTCCATTTATACAAGAAAATACTTATGGACAACTGGTAGATCCTATTGCATTGCCCACAGAGACTGAATGTCATAAATAACAGGTTCAACAACCTGTACACCAATACCTATAACCTTGGTTGAAAGAATCACACAAATTTTAATTGGAATAACAATAAACCAGGTATAGGAAACCAACAATGGAGGAACAATCAAGCTAATCTAGTAGTGAATTAGAGTAATCAGGGTAGTGTCAACCCAAGACATACTTACCCTCCAG